CTGTGGCCACTGTCCCGGGCCGGCAGTGCACGGTGCCCGGCCGCGGGCTGCCCTCCCGGTCCCCTGCCGACCTACCGAGCGCCGACGGGCTGGAGTGCGCGGTTCGCTGCGGCCGGATGCCCGGCGCATCTTCCTTGCGGCTGGCGGGTCTGGGCGGCGGGCCCGCGGGGTGATGCGGCCGGTGCTGGGAGGTTGCACCTTCTGTCCGAGTTACCTAGCCGTGTTTGCGGGCGGCGCAGTGACCCAGGCGGCGACGCGGGACTGAGCGCGAGCATCGGGGAGGACGCCGTCCCCTGCCCCACCGGCGCGGTGGTATCTCCCTTAAAGAAGCCGGAACCTCATTGTTCCCGGCGGTGAGGATCGGGGTTGCCCTGCTGGGTGAGGGAGAGAGGGCGCGGCCGACCTGGCTGCGGCGCCCCACCTTGCAGGCCTGAACTAGGGTCGGAGGGTGCAGCGACACGAGACAAGTCGCCACGGACCAGGATTGAATGCAGTCCACTGGACCGTGGGCGCTTCGGGCCCGAAGCCTGTCAAATCCTCCCAACAGCTGTCAATCATGTCCCGGCAGCAGTCGGCCTGAGCTCTACCATCAGGCTGACAGGCACTCGGAGACCAGGACCAATTGGCCGGCCCGTTAGTTACACAGATTCAGTAAGCATCTGCCAGAAACGCCCATTCTTTTATTATTCTGCACCTACTGTTTGCTAATAAGGTTGATTCTGCGCTCATTGCGGTGTAAGGCACGATTAGAATCTGTTACTGCGCTCCAGTGATTTTCTCAGTCTTCTGTTTATGGGACTAATATTTGGGAACTGGGCAACTTTTTATATAATCTGAACCAGACTCCACGAGTAAAGGTTTTACTACTGACTCCGCTTTCACGGGAGAAAAAGCCGACTTCTGCTACATTTGACCAAATGGTGTCTTTGTAGAAAACCCGCCCCTGCCCGTGGTGTAACTACCTCCGGAGAGTTTGTCCCGAGTGCCATTCTGGTACTGGTGTCCACTAGTTTGCTGGGGATGTTGACGTCACTCAAGACTTGTTTCCTGCCCTGGAAAGCAGCGGGGCATGGGAAGCTCTGTAGACAGCTGGCTACCAGTGTGACAGAAGGATGGAATAGGAAGAGATGTCTCCGTCAGAATAGCCTTTCTATTCACTGCAGTCATTAAATGTCAGGAACTCCAAGGGACATACCTGTTCTAGCTATTTTCCTGTTGCTGTGATTAAAAAACAAAACACTGACCAAAAGACCAAAAACACCTTAGAGGAGGAAAGGGTTGGTTTAACTTAAATTTGCAGGGTTAGGGTCACAAATTCATCACTAGGGGAAATCAGGGCAGGAACTAGGGGAAGGAACCACGGGGGAAGGCCTCCCTACTGACTCGCTCCCGGTCATGGTTCAGCTGCCTTTCTGAGGGCCTGCCTAGGAACAGCACTGCCCACATTGAGGTGAACCCTCCTTTGCCAATTAGCAATCCAGAACCCCTCTTCCCCCCAGACATGCTCACAGGCCAGTCTGATGGAGGCCAACCTTCAGATGAGACGTCCTCAAATAGCTGAGCTGTCAAGTTGACAGCTGAAGCTAACTAGGAGACCAGTGTTTTACAGTGTGCCATCTTCTGTGTGAATGATAAACACAGTTACTTATATTTTAAACTTTTAAAAGGCCTATCGTCAATGCAATATAGGAAGAATTATTCCACATTCTTCTGTGCTTTTGTTGTTTTTGAGGCAGGGTCTCACTTTGTAGCTCTAGCCTGCCTTAAATTTACTCTGTAGACCAAGTTGGCCTTGAACTCACAGAAATCCACCTGCCTCTTCCTCCTGAGTGCTGTTATTAAAGGTGTGCACCACCACACCTGGCCAGCCTTTAAAAAACGTATGTATCTGTGTTTGGGTGATGATGTATATATAGAAATCAGAGGACAACTTTGTGGAGTCCATTCTGTCCTTCCACCTTGGGATGGATTCCAGGGACTAAACTCTGGTCACCAGGTGTGTGTCAAGTGCCTTTAATTGCTGAGCTACCACACCAGTCTGGCGAGAAAGCTTGCGACAGAATGTAATTGGAAGGAATTTCCTTTGGTCTGTCAACCAGCCCCCAAATGGTGACACAGAGACTTACTATAAATTATGAAAGCTTGGCCTTGGCTTGGGCTTGTCTCGCTAGCTCTTTTAATTTAACCTGTTTCCATTCATCTACGTGTGCCTCCGGCTTTTACCTCTCTTTCACTCTGTGTGTCCTACTTTCTTCCATGTCTGTCTGTCTGGCCTCTGGTGTCTCCCTAGCATCTCTTTCTTCTCCTGAGCCTAAATTCCTCCCCCTACTTACTCTCCCTGCCTAGAATTCCTGCCTATACCTCCTCCCTTGCTATTGGCTGTTCAGCTTTTTATTAGACCAATCAGGTGCCTTAGGTAGGCAAGGTAAAACAGGCACACATCTTTGCATAGTTAAACAAATATTCTGCAACAGAGAAATCCTGTCTGGAAAATAATAGTAATAAAATAAAAATAGGTATTCTAAGGCCAGCCATGGTGGCACGCACCTTTAATCCCAGTACTTTGGGGGTAGAGGCAGCAGATCTGTGAGCTCAGGGCCAGCCAGGGCTGTACAGTGAAACCTGTCTCAAAACAACAAAGTAGGGTGGGGGGAGATGGCTCAGTGTTTACAAGCACTTGTTGCTCTTGCAGAAGACCCAGGTTCAGTTCCCAGCACCTACATGGTGGCCCACAACCATCTGTAACTCCAGTTCCAGGGATCCAGTGCCTTCTGATCTCTGAAAGCACCAGTTGTGCATGTGGTGTACTGTGGGGGACCAGCCCCCACCTTCACCTAGGTACTCTTGAGGGGTGAGGGATAAGGGATTTAGATGGAAGGAGAGAGGGGAGGGAAACAGAAACACAGGATAGCCTCGGGAGGACCTGGATCCTTATTCACCAGTCCAGAACTTTATTCAAAAGGGCTTTTTATAACAATGCCAAGGGGCAAGGCAAAAGACCTTCCCCTGGCTAGATACAACCAAGTGTAGACCCTTCCAAACACCTGGTACCCAGGCCCAAGGTCCAGTCATCCTCTTACGCAGTCCTGCTGGGTAAAACAAGCTCAGGTCTCACTTTGAAACCTCTGTGGACTCCCACAGGTCCTCCTTCTTAATATTTTAAGAATGTATTTTAAATGTCTTAAGAATTTTAAAAATATTTTAAGAGCTCCCCATTAAGAACTTGCAAGTAGCTGTAACAAAACAGCAATCCCCATAGCTACCACACCTTCCCGTGAAGGAATAGAGGATAAGTAAAGATGGAATGTCCTTTTTGGAATGGGTCTAAGGTGACTACAGCAGTCTTAGCCATACCAAGCCCTTTTTTAAAATCAATAAACTCCTGATGCAACCACATCAAATAAATCAATAAACTCCGGATGCAACTACATCAAACTTAAAGACTCCTTTAACTTCATCAACATTAACAGGTTAACATAATTCTAACATAAATATTACTATACATAATTACAATCTTCTCAAGCTTACATCCAAAAGCAAACTTTTTTTTTTAATTTTATTTATTTTATTTTACAATACCATTCAGTTCTACATATCAGCCACGGATTCCCCTATTCTCCCCCCTCCCCTTACCCCCAGCCCACCCTCCATTCCCACCTCCTCCAGGGCAAATCCCCCCCGAGGACTGCGATCAACCTGGTAGACTCAGTCCAGGGAGGTCCAGTCCCTTCCTCCCAGACTGAGCCAAGTGTCCCTGCATAAGCTCCAGGTTTCAAACAGCCAACTCATGCAATGAGCACAGGACTTGGTCCCACTGCCTAGTTGCCTCCCAAACTGATCAAGCCAATCAACTGTCTCACCTATTCAGAGGGCCTGATCCAGCTGGGGGCCAAAAGCAAACTCTTAATAGAACCATTAACACTTTAAAAACTTTAGCAAAAATACACTTTAAAGCGGTCTCTTAACAGAACCATTTGCATGTCTTGCTAACAAAACATAGGATAAACTTCTGACGCATCCACATCAAACTTAAACACTCCCTTAACTTCACCAAACCGTGGTCCGTCAATATCAACAGGTTAACATAATAACTCTAACATAAATATTACTATACACAATTACAATCCTACAAACCTACATCCAAAAGCAATATTCTCAATATAACCATTAACACTTCAAAAACTTTAGCAAACATCCAAAAGCAACTTCTTAATACAAAACATAGGGTACATTAACATAGCATCAGTCTACTCAAGGGACAAGAAAATATTTTTTAATTAAATAATAGACTGAGGAATATTAACTCCCTCTTTATAATTTTTTAAATTGATCTTGAGCCTAGTTAAAAACAAACAAACAAATTTCTCCATTTAAACAGTTCCACTTTTAACACAAAATAGTTCATGAGTAGAGTCTATATGCATAAGTAGAGTCAAAATTGTCCCATTGCAATGGAATCACTCCTGTCCCTTTCATTTCTTAAGTCCAAAAAGTTCAAAAACCAGTTCTATTACCGGTCTTAGAGTTCCAGAAAGCTTTCTGATAGCAGTTCATCCGAGCACTTGAAATCAGGGCCTGGCTCGTCAGCTGCCCTTAAGTCTGTGTATAGCTGTCAGAGTCATAATCACTCTGAAGCAAACAGCTCCAAATACGAGGAGTCCCAGAACCAAAACTTTTTTTTTCCAGTGCAAGTAAGCCGCTCTGAAACTTTCACTTTGTGCTTCAGCTGTGCCCTGCAGTCCATAGCCTTCCCATAAGGCCATTTTTGCTTCAGGGAAAAAGCATTAGCTGGCCTGGGCAGAGTCCTTTCAAGAGAGACTCTTACAGCCAGCAAACAGAAACTGCCAGGCTTTTGGCTCCTGACTTCTCACAGCCTTCACAGTCACTGTCTGTGCCTTCATAATCTGGCGGTTCCCAGGACCCCTGTGTCCTGAGGCCCTGAGGGCTTTCAATCACCTCACACCACACCGGCTCAAGAGGCTGCCCTTGCTGTTATGAGTCACTGCCCTCAGCACCCCGGGGGTGGGGAGGAAACCCAGCCATGGCCGGTCACGGCAGCTGCACCCCCTGCTGGCTGCATTACCTGCTGTGCCGGTGGTCCTCACGCTCTGCCAAACACCCCTCAGGCTCCCCGGTGTTCCCAGAATGCCTCAACTCAGAGTGCCTGTTCCCTGGCCCTCCTGGTGTGTGCCCTGGGGCATCTTTCTATGGAGGCGATGTCTCTTGCACAGCTGCCCACTCTGTTCTCCTGCCTCTCCTGAGTCACCCCTGCCAGGCTCTGGCCACCAAGGAATGCAGCTCCAGGAGACAGACCTGCTCCGGCCATGGGTCTGAAGTCTTTGGTGCACTCCAAGCCTCTGTCTACTGTTCACCTCTGCTTTTTCACGGCAAAAAGCTTGCCGACCCTTGTTGCTCACACTGTCTCTTGGGCTAAGAGGTGAGGCAAAAGACTTCCCCCTTGATAGATACAACCAAGTGTAGACCCTTCCAAATACCTGGTAATCAGGCCCATGGTCCAATCATCCTCTTATGCAATCCTGCTGG